AGGCATCTAAATAAGTACTCTCCCTCTGGAGTTGTCATAAATATGACAAGTTTGTTAATGACTAGAATACTGCATAAAGAATCCCAGTTTCATCTTGGAAACTGACTTCCCATCACCAGTTTAATTTAAAAATTTAATTACAGCTACTGGGGTTAAAAAACAGTTATGTTTAAAACACAACCAGAAATGGAACCGAAACAGATGTGATGTTCGATGTCTAACAGTGTCCAAAATAATACTATTCTCCACAGTCTGGGTTGGCCCCAAAGAAAGCTGGAAATACTGGTGAGAAGTAAATTCCTGTCCCTGCCAGGAATCAATCCCCTGTCAACCAGCACCAGGTTGTTATATTACTGACTGACCTGTCCTGTACTATCTGGCACAAATATTTTGGAGAACATTACATACCATGACACTCATCTTGTAAGATGGCACAAATAATTAAAGATTAAGTAAATAATGACTGAAAGAGACTCACCAAGGTAGCAACAAAGAACGTTTTTAAATACCAGTGGGTCAATATGTCTACATAACCTAATTTTATCATCAGATACCTTAATAAATGAATTTTCCTGTGAGAATGAAACCATCCAACGCCTTTACCTGAGGTAGATGAGTTCTCCGAGTTCAGCTGGCAGGCTACGCAGCTTGTTACTGGACAAGTCAAGGGTACGTAAGTTGACCAGTCTCGAGATGTCCGGCGGGATTCGTGAAAGGCAGTTGTCATTCAGGTACAACGATGTCAGGTGTGTAAGATGCCACAAATTTGGGCTTAAGTTTCTAATAGTCCCTGGGGAATAAGATATAAGCACATCAGAAATGTTTAAAACATAGTTTAATGTTAACTACCACAACACTATTCTTCTCACATGCAGTCAGTTCTACGTTGAGTTTCCATTATGTAAAAGAGATGTGTGAAGTGAAACAGCTAGTCAACAGCAACAACAAGCTGAAGAATGCTATTGGCAAAAATTTGTCCACGTCATGTATACTTTTCTTGTGTGTATATTAATATTGGTTTCAAATATATGTTGTGTTGTCCTGGACTTCCACTTTATTTTGCATATGCCAATAAAGGATTTCAACGGGTGGAAACAGAATACCATACACACACGATACACAATACTTTCACACTTACCTTTGACTTTATAAACAGCTTTCTTCTACTATGTGCACATGCTGCTCTAAAAACCACTGAATAATGTGTGCCTTTTTATTATGGAACTGAAGAGAAAGGATTATTTCTTTTTTAGCTATTCAACATAATAAATGGATAACATTGATCTTCACCTGTTATCTCCAATTCCGGCCAATGAGATTTCTTTCCAGCAGCTGCATCCTCACTTGACATGATGGTGTGAGCGCGACGCGGGTTGGTATTTTCATACTTATCCTTGTGATTGCGTGACATGCTAAAACCTGCAAGTGTACAACAAAATCATAAGCAATATATAAAACAAATTCAAGAACAATGTAGACATAACAACCTCCTACAAAACCGCAATTGCGACCACTCTAGTTACATGGAGCCATTTCTAGAAATGTCAAACAATGGTAAACAAATGAGAGGCTTACGAATGTCTTATTTTCAAAAGATGACATGAATAAAATGTCACAGAAAATATGTAACAATTAAAAAGAAAAATCAGAACAGTCACATAAGGGGGACATAGGTTCAGCTTTATTCATATTCAATCCTGAAAACAGGCGCAGCATATTCCTTCAAAATGTCACTATGAAACCACATAATTATGTTATGCAACAATCCACAAGTCCACAATCTAAGCATAACATATCTGTATATAAGATTTGAGGTTTTCACAGCGGTGAGTATGAAGATTTCCGTCTTCTGGTTTGTTGCTCTGTGTAGTCTGGTCGATGTTAACCAACGTTTCAGAGGTCATACTGCCTCCATCATCAGGGCGATGAAGATTTCTGTCTTCTGGGCTGTTGCGCAGTGTAGTGTGGTAGAAGTTTACCAACGTTTCAGATGTCATACTGCCTCCGTCATCAGGGATTCATCGCCCTGATGACGGAGGCAATATGACCTCAGAAACATTGGTAAACATTGACCAGACTACACAGCGCAACAACCCAGAAGACAGAAATCTTCATAACACATCTGTACTTCAGTCAGAAATTAATATCTTTATTTCTCATAAAACAGACTAGCCATATGAAATATTATTTACTATCATGCCAGGATTTAACCCAACAGCATGCCATTAAAATGCAGTCTGTTATGCAGGAATAAACAAGATATAAAAAAACAGACATTCATTAGCCCATTAAAGCCCAATAATAACTATACATACCACCTGCTTTAACAATCAATAACTCTGTATGTTGTATTTATGCATTTCATATGATTCTCAAAATAAATCAGGATTATTTCCTTAAACAGCATTAACAAGTTGATTATTATAACGGAAAAGTGTTCAGTTTTCATTGACATACAGAGTGAGTTCTTCAATATCAGTAAAACAAGCTTCAGCTTCAAAGGCTCTAAGGGAAAATTCATGGCATGGTCTGTTTGCAGATAAATTATCACAGCATTTACTGGAAAGTACCAAAAATCTAAGAATCCCCTCCAGTACAGCATGTCCCTGGACCAAATTAAAATTAAATGCAGTCTAATTATAAAGCAAGTTATATCTGTTATTCTATACCATTGCAAAGTACATTAAATATATAATTAATGAAATAAAATTAACAAGCAAATACACATATTTATTCTCTCCCATTCTCTCATTAATTCTAAGACACTTAAAACTAAGTACATGAAAAACAAACCCTCATTTACGAAAAAACATAGGTATTGAGATATAAGATTAACTCAATGCCCTGAAGATGAAGACAGCAAGCACCTCTGAAACATCAGTAAACTTCTGCCAGACTACACAGTGCAACAACCCAGAAAGCAATCATCTTCTCATACAAAATCAGAAAAATAACATCTCAAGGCATGCCACAACTTCTATTTCAACTCACTGTACTTCAATGTACTTTTCAATTACAATTCCAAAAATAAGCAGAGAATAATCAGATAACATATGGAGTATAACAAGCAAATATTTTCTAGTTATATCAATAAACTCTTCCAAAAATAAATGTTAATTCAATTGATGATGTAAATGCCAGGAATTAAATAACAGCATATGCTTGAACTGAATGTGGATACTAGCACAGAAACTGTAAACAGGAGCCCATGTTATTATTCAAAAAAGTGTGATATGTTTCACTCACACAGAAAATCCTACACAATCACTGGTACATAAGATTTATCTTGCCAGTCCATGAAAGATAGGCAAGGATAAACTGAATTAATGAAATACTCTCAAAATGTAAAACAATTTACACTATTCATCCTTCACAACAAATGATTTTTTAACTTTAAACCGTAAAATATACACAGTGAAATAACAATTTAATAATTTCACACATGTTACATTTTAATCAATTTTGGCCATCTTTAGCCTCTACCAAAGTACATAATGATGTACAGACACAGATGGCTATGTCTGCCAGAGTACTATCAGTTGATTGTCACAAAACATATAACAAAAATGAGAGAATTATATAATAGTTTAAATTAGTCCATCAATAAGATTCACAAGTTAAAATCACACTATGTTTTGGCTATTTTACATAATTTTCATATTATCCCCAAACACATTATTATGAAGTGAATGGCTCTGTTCAGTGTACCTTTGACCATCTGTCAAAGTAATACTTCTGAGTGGAGGTCTGGTTAGCAACCCTTTAGTACAGGGTTCTTCTATACTATTCTTATATAATTTTGTATGAAAAAGTGAAAGAACTGTGTCTCATATTTTATTTTATTGAGTGGGTGTCAACCTAGTGAAAGCTGCACTGTTGGAAGTATTATCTATTCACTGCTAATTATACATATAAAAAGGCTTGTAATATTAATTTTAAGTCAGCACTATGAGCATGACAGAATATTAAATGGGGCACTGAAAAGACAGGTGAATTTTTTTTAGACTAAAATATTAATTTTATCAATTTTGTGAGACCAGCTTCACTTACATAATGTAAAAATTTGTAAACCTAGGGTTTCATATAATATGTGGCTAACTTTCTGTTTATTCCAAAGCTGTCTTTATTTAACTCATTACAAGCACCTTAAGCTTCATTAAGTTTGTGAGTTTTTTGCAACATCTCCCTCTTTTAGGAACTCACTATCAAGAATTTTAAAGTTTAAACTAAAGTTAAAAGTTAAAAGTATACTATCCCAGATGTAATCCACAGCCTCAATATTAACAAGCACATCAATGCCTTACTAAACAAAAACAATCTGACCATGTCATAACAGGTATAAGTGCCATCAAGCACAAAAAGTATTAATTTCTCACATTGACTCAAAATGGTGAGTGTACACAATTAGCCACAATTATAACATGACTGTGTAAATGTTCAACTTACACAATCAATGACAAATTACAAATAAGAGAAATGGAAAGAATATGCAAACTAAACAAGAAAGTACTTTTAATTTGTAAGCACTAATCATATTCCTAAGCATAAGAAACAAATTCCTTAAACTAAAAATTACTGACAACTGTCAGTATACGATGTGTTTCACTTTGATGGTAATCAAAACTTTTCCACCCTCATTACATATACTTGCTTCAGATAAATCTTACCTGGTACAAAAGCATAGGCTTAGCACAAAATGAATATATCCTCTATTACATGAATGAACAAGGTCACTAATTTCGAATTAAACAATCTTAATATGATTCATAGTTTGTTTTGGATCATAAAGTTGTATTAAAATGCAAAGAAACATAAATTTTATTGAGGACAGATGGCTACTTCTCATGTCACCCCCTTGTAGCCCCTTCTCTTCATGCGATCTTTCATTCCGTTTCGTTGTTGTATTTTCAGCACCAATACTGTTCATTAAAATAATTCATAAAATAATAGTAACACGCACCTTCATCTACCTTTAAACACGCACCAGACTGATGATCGTGGTAAAATATTTGTGATATTTTATAGTAAACAAAACTATATTGACATACACAACTCCGCCATTAGTACTCAGGAATCGGAGAATGTTCTATAGTGGGATTGGCTGTTATTAACGAACATGACCGATTTAACACGACAAATGTGACTAAAATGGCTGCAGTTTTCGGAGGTTAGTTGTTACAGTATTTTCAGTTTTAAGTATATGGTAAAGATGTTATAAAAGAAAATAATAGTGATGATATCCTCTACAGTGATATTTAACCATCCAGTTATTATCGTAGCCACAAATGTAGTTGGGATTATTGAAAGTAAAAGTGTCTGATTGTAGGTTAGGTTGCAGCCGAATTTCGGAAGGTCAACATGCTTCCAATTTTGAACGTTTTTCACGACGTAGTTCAAATCTTAATTTTCTTGTCATGAATCAAATTTTGTCCAACTATTTTCAAATTTTCCGAACCATTATTTTGTTAGTTTTGCCAGTGTGTTTTCAGAACCGTTTTGTTTTTGTTATTTTATTGAAATTTTCTGTTTTATTTCGATTTTGTTTGGGAGTAAAGATTACGGTCCCCCACCAAAACGAATCTGCCATGATATGTTTCTGTAGAATCGAAAACCGCTTTCTATGTGTGCAAAAGACTGGAATTTTCATATGGATCATGCTGTACCACGGATTTATTTACCTATAGTAATTTTAGTTCTTTCTTAGGCTCTAAACTGTAGATCTCAGAGACACCATGTTCAAACTGCAATCTATTAAACACTATTTGTAATGATTAGAGCATTTTATGTGTTTAATACCCACCAGGATATGTTGTCCACGTTTTGACCCATGAACAATTTGTCCCACATTTCTCCTCTACACACGTTTTATATTCCCCTTTTAGTACTATTGTCAAGAATTATATGTCCATTGTGCTTACTTCACACAGACTCTATTGTCTGTGTTGATCTTCTGAATAGTAATGCTGTAAGGACTTGTAGGTGGGAGAATTATTATACCTTACAGTACATATAAGGAAAGAATGGTCAATTGATTACCACACTACCGGCTGTGAAGCAGTAGAATTTCATTTATTGTTATAAAAATGGTTGTTTAAATTATCTGGATGAACATTGGACTGGATAAATTGAAACCTGAACAGAATGCTCATGGGCATAATGTCTGGAAACCTCCATTTTTATTGATACACATATATTGATGAACATGTTGAGTGTATATGGTTGAGTTATACTGTTAACATATAGAAATAGAAATGTTTATTTGAGATATAACCATAACTAACAGGAAATTGTGCAGTTTCTGTTGCATCGTGATAGTGAATGCCTTCTCTGCATTTAATTTAGCAGATGACATGGTATAGCATTTGCACAGTGGAATCCTGGGTTTGATATTTTAATCAACATTAATCTTCTTGAATTATTAGAGTAAAGTTATTTATTTTGCAGTAATCACTGATACGAATATTGCAGGATGTCTGAACTCTCAACATAATTACACAATTTAATTTCTAGGAAGATTTACTTCATGCTTCTTTAACGTCTGTGGCTTGAGAAGTGGAAAATTTGTAACATCCTTGAGTGTAGGTGTTCATGAAGTGCTGCAAGTCCGTAACTATGCTGCAAGGAAGGGAACAAGAGAGAAAGCAAGAAAGAAAAAGAAGGCCAAGGTTGAAGTAAAGAAAGTAGGATTTATACCACATAATTTGCGAGGAAAAAAGTAAGTATGCTTATTCATGGGAATAAAAATTTGAATAACATTTAAGTATGGTATAGAATTTGAAGGTGCAAGAATACTATTAATTTTAACTGGTCTTTGTGGCACAAAAAGGCAATATGTACACACTGCTGGTGCATGCTTGGAGATTGTATAATGCATAAAAAGAAATTGTGCAGTGCGACAAGTGACCACTAGAAGAGATAAGTAAGAATAAATACTGCAAAGAACTGTTTGTATAGATACATGTAGTAGCTTTTGTCTGTATGTTATTTACGTTATCTATAAGATGGCTGTCTTCTGGATTGTAGTACCATGAGAATCTCAAATCCTACTTTACATTATCTGTTTTTCTGATCAATAAAATTTGTAGAGCTATAAATTCTGGGTAGCTATTAAATGTAAATGGTGTTCTATTAAAACAGCTTATTAAACACAAACTTCATAGTGTGGTTATAAACTGTGTTATACATGTGTGTGTTTTCATGTTTTTAGAGCTGCTCCAGTCATTACAAGAAGAATCGATGATAGTTTGAAACCAGTTTCTCCAGACAATGTGTGGTTGTCCAAATTTTATCAATGGCCACTCTACAGCTTTTCAGATGCTGTTCATTGTCATCGTGAAACACATCATCCAACTGTGTACAACAGTCCTAATGAAAAACTTTATGTTAACTTAGAACTCAACATGCGAGCTGCTAAGGAGGTAATTCTCCTTATTTCACTGTTCATCATTTATTATTTTGCTTTGGAATGTGTTGACTGTAGTTCTTTTATTGTTATTCGGATGATGAATTCTAAATGAAGGTAAAAGCAAAGTTGACTAGGAATGGATGAGTTGATGCATTCTTAACCTCAGCAGTGGATTGAAGTGTGATTAGTGTACTGCCAAAGAAAGTGCTATGGCCCAACTGGATAGGAGGCTGGGTGGGCCTCACAGCCAGTTAACTTTTATAACTGAACAAAAAGTTATAAATTTATGAGTACAGTGACAGCCTGTGGACAATCTGTCAGACTTTGATTCCCAGTAAACGAATTCACGTCATGTGTAGAAAGGCTTTGAGGTCTGGCAAGTATACTTTGGATTATGTAATATAGCAGTTCCTATCGAAGCAGTAAAGCAGTGCGATATGCACAACAGGTTTCTTCCCAGGGATAAAAGAAGTGGAGCTTGAAGTTAACTAGTCATATTATCTAGTGCTGAGGTTAAGGCTACGCCTTCATGGGTTGATGCTTGGGCACAATTTATTGATTACATTGGCATTATACCAATAATGAAGATCAGGTGGTATTATTGTTTGTAACATCTTATTATGTTTGCAGAACCGATATTTGGATGAGTTTACTCGAACTATTTCTTTACCTCATCCTTTTGATGCGGACAAGGCAAAATCAGTTTTAGTTTTCTGCAAATCAACAGAACTCCAAAAGAAGGCCCTGATAGCTGGTGCTACAGTTGCAGGGGACATAGAACTCATCAAGAATGTTCAGGTAATTAAGGATCTGTGGGATGAAATGTTATTATATTTACTAAAATCTAAAAGTGATTATAATTTGTCAGTAATTGAAAATAAAGAATATTGAAGTGGCCGTCCATTATGATCCTGGGCTGATTCATTCCATGTCCTGTCTCCACAACCTGCCTCCCTAAGATCCATCTTCTCAACTGGTTGCTTTCCAAGAGGTTTGGCCAGCACAATTCTCTTCCATTGTCCAATTCAAATTACGTTTCCAGCCAATGTTAACTCCCTTGATTTCAGTGCAAGGTGACCTGTATAAATAATGAAGTTTCTCATTATACAGTGTCCTGAATTGCAACATTTTTCATCTGTATATATTAATTATATTAACCCAAAAACTATGTTTTCAAACATTTGTAATATATGTTATTCCCTCAAAATAAGAGGCGGTGTTTACAGGTGTCAAAACATCTGGTAAAATAATTACTGCTTGGCATATATTTTGTTGTTTGATTGTAATAAAATCTCCATATCCCTTCTAAGTGGACTCTTTTAAATGCAGTAATGAACCTTGGGTTTCATAAAAGCTGGGAGATTTTTGACTAGATGAGCAGCTGTTAGCTTCTCAAGCAGGATTTTGCTCCATCCAGTTAGTTAGATTCTTTCTATTGTCTAAGGTAAGTAACTGTTTTCTGATATATGTTGTATCATTTTATGTGACAAACTTTTTTTCCTTTTGAATGATACTGCACATTTAGGCACAAGATGGATGCAGTTTTTGCCATAGAACGCTGTAACTCATGTTTGAAATTTGCAAATTAAAAGTAATGTCATTAAAAAATAAGTTTATTTTTACTTTCTTTCCACAGAAAAATTGTATGTACAATAAAAATGCAGTGCACCCTGTGTTCATATTTCACTGGTTTGTCTAAGTTTATTTTGAAAAGTATTGTTGTCAGTTACATATATAATGAATGTGTTCTCTTTCAGAATGGTGAGTTGAGTCTCAAGGATTTCAACTTTGTTGTTGCACACCCAGATATACTACCTGAACTTGTCTTAGTTCGAGGGCTGTTGAAGCGGAAGTTTCCAAACCAAAAGTCAGGTACATTGAAACAAGAAAAGAATTGAAAAGTTACATTGTCAGTTACATGTCTTTACAAATTAATGTTTATTACTTTCTCAAAGACTAAAAAATTGTCAAAAATGCATATTATATAGAATATGTATTCCACTAAGATTTAGGCATGCCTCAGATACAAGGCAATTAATTCTTTGTAACCCAGCATAACTGTTTGAGTAGAAAAGATAGTTGTTACTTACAGTTTTACAGAAATTAAAAAGAAGATCTAACAGATTTAATACATGCCTATCATTTGTGTGCATCAGTAAAACTTGTGTATTTGTCTGCAAGTAAACATGAAAATTATTTAAATAATCTTTTACATTTTTTATCACATTACACAAGCGGAACATTGCTCTACAATAAATATCACATTTAATGTTTGTTTTATTCTTCTTTAATTACCCAGCAGTAGTTTTGATATTGGCGCATCCTTAGAATTGAGTTTGTGATAATAGAGAATAAGTGTTTCTTCTTATAGGGACTTTGGGCACTGACATACCTGCTATGGTGTCAAGATTCTGCTCTGGTATTGAATACACTGCCAAGGCGGACCAATATCTTAAGGACTTTGGATGGATTTTTACATCTATTGGGAAGGTGAGTTACTGGGTTAATAATGTCCAAAAGGGACCTGTGTGCAACTGCCTTTTCTTAATAACATTAAATTTTGAGTTTTACTGATAGTAACTACTGAAGAAAAACATTCCTGGCAGTCGTTAGCCATACATAAGAGAGTTAATGGGTTTATTGTCAGTAATATAAGCCATGAGGCCAGGAGCCCCTGAACAGCATTACCATGGTAGTGGTTATAATAATTTCAGCAAAACAATTACAGTCATATAAACATTATAAAGTAAAAAATTCCATAACAGTGTTGCCATGGCAATGATTATAATAATTTATGCATAACAATAGATACACAGTCAAAAACATTTTTCTATTATGATAATAACTAAATATAGTTGTATGGATACTTTTTGACATATGAGTCATAAGGACACACAAAGTGAGTCACAACCAAATATAAACTACTGATATGACTAAATCAAATTTCAGAAAGAAGTAAAGGTTATTTTAAATGCCATCTGTTGTCAGTTTTATTAGATCAGTAGGTTGGCAAGTGCCTGGGTAAATGTCTCTAGAAAAGCAAAAGTATCCCAGTAACAATTTGCTACATTGGGACCAAATATAAAATTAGCATATTATGACAATCCTAACGTTTGTATATCATAGTTAAGAGCCCCAAAGATATGCACAGGTCTTACATGAACATCTACAATTTAGCAAGATGTCATAATAAGTTTCTTATAACAGTAAGTACTGCCAGTTTATTCTGTTTAGTAATTTATATCATTTCAATCTCATTAATATCTCGATATAACACTTTTTGAGAAATGAGTTGATATTCAGCTCAAGATAGCTGCCCTAATAAAAAATTCTGTCTTCATTGCTTAGCAGAAACAGAGGAGAACTGCATTACTCTGGTTAGAAAACATAAAAAGTATCAGACAGTAGACACTGGTGGCATAAAATTACAATTGTATTTTGAAAATTGATCAGTATTTTGTAGTCTTGCAAAAGAAATAACATACAGTCCTCTCACACAAATTGTGGTTAGAGCAAACTGTAACCTCCCTTCCACACACGACTCGTCTTTCTACTGATGTAGTCACAGGTTAAAACCCAGTAGCTTACCCGTCACTGGTGCGGTTACAACTTTTCCTACTTCAGTGCGCAAAAGGGGTTAAAGGTTATCTCAGGATTCTTTGATATAGGGTTAGTCGGTGGGCAAGGATCTCCGACTCTCAGGAAATATGGGGGGGAGGCATTAATTGGAGCTGCGCTCGCGGGAGGTTAGCGAAGTCGTTGAGCTGGTACAATTGGTAATGACACAGTTGTTAGTGTTGAAATCACTAAATTTATTCACGACCTCACTTGTCTTTCGAAGGATGAGCTCTATCTGTGATTTTGATTAACATTTATGAAGATAGTAATGGTATATGAATTCGATGAATACTTTTGTTCTCATTTTAATGTTGTGTGTTTCTTTCAGCTTGATATGGATACAGACCACTTGGAAGAAAATTTCTCTGTCTTGCTGAAAGATGTGTACTCTATGAAACCAAATCGAGTAGGTCCATTCATTACAAAGTGTTGTCTAGTTTCTTTGCCATCTCCAGAGAGGTTAAAAGTAGACTATAACCTGTACATAGATGAAGATGACAATGAGAAACAGGAAGAAAAGGAAGAAGATGAGGAGGAAGAGGATGAAACTGGTGAAGCAGAAGTAAAGTCTTCAGTAGTTGTGTAATATTTCATGTCTTTAAAGACAGTGTTTTAGTATGAATTTTATGTAAGATATAAACATTCTTTGTATTTATAATTGGTAAGTAAATATTGATGTTCCATTTTGCCATTTATTGGAAGCAAAACAGTTTGTTTGTATGCTTATTTTTATATTCTAATACACTACACAGTATGCAAAGTTTTAATTACTGTAACTGCTCATCAATCCCTTTATTGGTTTGTGCTGATTCTTTACTTGTAAGAAACCCAACTTTTATGTGCTAGGTCATAAGGTTTTGTATTAGCCCGTATTGTCATGATTTTATTTTGTTATTAATTGGTATTTCCTTTATATTTTTTGCATATTGTAAGCTTGGGATCAGAAATGGACAGCCGATTCTAAGTGGTATAGCGGGAACACAGAGGTTTTAGGAATTTACCAGCCTTGGAATTCTTTTGTACATAAATTACCTGCTTTTAGCCTAAGTGGGTTTTGCCACGTATTAGGGATGCCCTTTCGAATAAGAGTGTGGGAGAGACGTCCTGTGGATCGGTGGGAAAGGGGAGGTCCTTCGAGCCGAACCTTGACCCACACCAATGGGAGCTGATGTTACATTACCTTTTGGGCAAAGCTAGAAATTTTTAGTATTGAACCTTAAGGGTGCTTATGGTACAAAAAGGGGGTTCTTTTGGCCGCAAAGGGTATAGTAGAAAGAAATGTAGTGATTGAGAAGTTAGTGAGTGAGAAAGGAGACCGATTTGGGAGCTGCAGAATTGTAAGTGTGTGTGGAGGTGGCTGTGCATTTGAGAGAAGTGTGAAATTTAACAAAGTGCTAAACATCAAGGATTGGACTGCGTGACGTGGGATCAGCATGTGTAGATCAACAATCATGCAGGTCTCGAATGACTAGAGTCTACCATCCAGTCAATCCGAGTGTTCAAATGGGCTGTTATGAACTGGCCGTGACACCAAATGAGACTGAGTCGATGCATAATGACTAACTGAGCTAAGCAAAGACCCTTGAGAGATACTGACGACCCAACAATACCTACTAGACATATCATAGCGGACGCTGTGATCTACCCAGACTGAGGAACAACCGGCTACAGTACTGGTATGTGTTAATTTAATTAACTTTCTATTCACCACATTGCTGAAAATATTTTAAACCGCAAATACAGTCATATGAAACAGATCCTTTGCTTTTCGTTTGCAGGGAAGAACTCCATAAGAGTAGTGCATTAGGAATTTTCTGTTATTATGCCAAGGCTATCAACTGTGTTAATTCTTGAATATTTATGATAAAGATGGCTTATTATGGAGAAGGTGGGCATCCTAGTAAATTATACATCATATTATACAAGCAGATGGTGAACAGTTGCAATATAATCTGCAAATACTAATGATATTTGTTACAACTTGGATAAAGTTCAGCACTGAGTTCCTCAGCGCTCTATACTTGGTATTCTCCCATTTTGTTTGTATGATAATGACAACATGATGCATAAACACAATCTTCACACACCAGCTGCTAAACTTAGAAAATTAAAATGAAACGTAATATGAGTGAAGGAAAAAAATTACAAGGTTTTCCTATACTATAATTGAGTGGTTACACAAAACATAGTTAACAACTTAAATGTCATTTTGAGTCCTACAATTTTTCTGTTGAGAAATTTATATTATTAAATTAGATTGAACCTGTACCCAGTAAAATGAGATAAAGAAGCTCTGGCACTTGAACTAGATGGTACAGACATCCTTTTACTCATACCTTGTCTTAACATTCTGATGAACTGTCGTAACAAATCTGGAACTTGGAAATCTGGAATATGTGTGAAGCGACATCGTAGTTCGTCGGAGAATGTCGCAGCAGCTCGTGTGTGTATGAAGGCACCCTGACGTATTGATATTCACTGACAGACTTATGTTTCGATGGGTGTTTGAAGATGTCATATCATAGAAATTTTGATTATTCGAAACACTGTTAACTATGAGTTACACAACCACTTCACTGGATGTTGCTTGCACAGGAGTTGGTGTATTGCACGTATTTGGCATTAGCGTCCTTCATAGTGTAAACAGAATTCATATTTCATAAGTGATGGTAGACTTTTTGAAAGCATTAATTCACACCGAAAATCAAGTGGCTCAATACTCACCATTTTTTTAAATTGATAAAAAGTACATGGGCATGCATGATGCCCATGTTAACGTGAAAAATAGTTTTAAGAAGTTGATGGCACAGAGGATGACCACTCATGGGACAGCAATCCTGACCATGTCAAGTCAGCTGATGATGGAAGCAGTGGGGAACAGTAATTCTAAGTTTTCTTCTGAAGTAGTGTTTGTGTACCAAGACATTAAAATACACCCTATTTTTTGCAGGATAAATGTAGGTATATGAAAAGGGTAAGGGGTATTGTTTCCAGTGGTCAGTGTGCCACCAGTCCACTAAAATTGAAGGAATATGAGATGTTTTCTCATCTCCATTCCATACAAGCCTTACTGTATGCTTGGAAGTGGCCTTATCAGTTATGCAGCTTATCTGCTACACTATCTGACCACGTTTGCATGCACTAGAGGAGCAGATAGTTTCATCACTGGACCAGAGTTTCCAATCTTTGCATTCATGTGTACTTCACAGCAAAGAAAGAAGAGAATTTGCCCTTTAAACACAAAATGACTGTGACTCAATTGAGCTGTGTTCTGTGCAGGTACTTCTCCTTTCATGCAAGATTCTTGTAATGATGGCAAATAAGTCCCTTTGTTTAAAGAATATTATTTTTGGCATCCCAATACCCTTTGTTACTAAATGGTGAGTTTGTGGGAAGTAGATAAAAATGTTCTTAATTTTTTTTAAAAAACTATTGTCAAGAAGAACATTCATGGAGAAACTAAAAATATTAAAATTTGAGAAACATTGCCCACCTGTAAACAACCCCAAGAGCTAATTTAAGAAAAGCAAAGATATGTACACTAGGAACTTTTGTTTATATATTTAGATTTACACAAGTTCTGATGTTCGTACAAAGTTTCATGTGAAATAATAATATTATTATCGTCAACAAAGAGTGTAAGTTCCATCTTACGGCAGTGAAAATGTTGTTGGTCTTCTGAGCTGCAATGCTGTGTGGACTTGTAGAAACATACCAACGTCTCTGAGGAACATACTGCCTCAATCTTCAGGGCTGAAAGCAGTGTTTTACCTGGAAACACTGAAATCTATTTATAAGTACACGATGTTACAACCCTGAGGACTGACATTGACAACATCTAAGCGAAACTTTATTGAGCAATCTCATTAAAGAAATCTATTACATTAAAATATAAAACGAAAATACATGACCAGGAGTTTGTTTTACGAAATTTTCAGGTTCAATGCGTTAGTTCAATGTACGGTATGCAAACTTCGAACGCATTACACACACACACACACAATCCACAAAATTGGTGTATTGAAGAACGTATTATATATTCCGGGTGTTGGTCAGGAAGCCTGAGTGGAAGAGACCACTGGGGAGACCTAGACATAGATGGGAGGATAATGTCAAGCAGGATCTATGGGAGATAGGAGTTGAAGGAGACTGTATTTTGTTGGCCCAGGGCAGGGTCTGGTTGAGGGCTTTGGTTAATTCGGTGATGAACCTTCAGATTCGGTAAGCTATCTAGTTAGTTAGTATGGGACCGGTGCCAACCCAGCATCGTGAGGAAATTGGGGAGCTACAATAAATAGCGTAATCCGGTCAGGAAAGCTAGCAATGGCTGCGGGTTCGTCGTGCTGACCAAACGTCATTCTATATCTGGTTGGATGATCGTTAACCTCTGCTTAGGCATGTGAACGTGAGGCCAGCAGTCAAGCTAGTCGGCTTTGGCTCTCTGGAGCTGTTACGCCACGGATTTAATTTTTTAATTTTAATTATATTCATGCATCAGAGACATGGACAGTCTTGTTTTACGTAAAAATAACTTTGTTAAAGACAGAAACTCTAATCAGCTATTGCGACATGTTGTAATGTCACAGATTTTAAAATCAATCTTCTTATGCAACTTATTTCTGTTGAGTTGTTATTCTCTGACACAATTCTTCTACATTACTTATCGCAATCTGATGTGTTTCTGTTCTGTGACGTGGTATGTGGAAAAAGCTGTGATTTGTAATTAACAAGGGAACCTTAAGAAAATATTAATATAAGTTTTCGAATTAAGCATTGTTAAGAAATATCATAGTAAATTAGCAAGTTATAAAATGTTTTTATTATAGATTAATGGGACGTAAATTTTACAGACTGCTTCGGCTGTTTATTACAGCTATAAACATTAGCATTTAATAAATTTTTAGTTAGTTTGTTTTTTAATTTAATATGTTTATACCTAAATAACTATAAGAAATACTAGCGAGTGAGTAATGAAGGAGGTTTTAGTTAGAAGATTCATGAAATCCCCAACGAGTTTCTCGACTTTTGGTAACGTATTTTTTTAATTTCTTCAGTAGCTTCTAATTTTAGAATGATTATAAATCTTTTCATGTTTGAGGAAACATGAACTCTAGGTACAATTCTCCAGGTAAGAAAGAGTAACGGTTTTGGCGTGTTTCCTCTGCTATAATTTTCAAGTCTTAAATTTGTAAATACTAACTTTGCTGTCTTATAAATAGTAATTATTGAAAAGGTTTAATATCTGGGCTAATCTTTGACATTTTGGATTGTTCCACAAATTTGTGCAAATGCCTTCAGTACAAAAGTTGTTCAGAATTAGTCCATTGGTTTTCAAGTCATAAAATGACAGCATGAGTCAACTTTGTGGTCCATTTATCTCGACAATTTCTCCTAATAACATTCTGGCATCAATGAATGTCTGCTTGGCAATTTGTGTTCAACATAATGCGCTGGAAACACTTTTGATCCTGTAAAATATCCATCATAGTTGGCTACTTTTTACAAGAATTTGAATGTGCATAAAAGTTTGAAAAATCCCTAATATCAAATTAGTGGAAATCCTTTCAGCTGTTCCGAATTCCTTGCAAAAAGACATTCAATGACAAAGCGTTTTTACAACTTTAGTAGTTGGTCACACTTAAGGCAATTTTACAATAATCTGAATATGTGAGTGGCCTCTTCCTAATGTAGCTTATGAAATATTTTATTTTTCAGGCCTATTTACATTTCAAACAAACTTTGTGTGATCAGCTTCAGATTTAATTCAAGTATTATTGTTAATTTGAGTCCATAATGACAATTTTAAAAAAAATTCAAAATGGCCACCTTCCACCTTGATACAAGTTTATGACTTGGAAGGACTATTGTGTCTTGGATTCTGCACCATTCTGTTTACTTATTACCATTTATTTTCTTGAAATCAGTGACCGCTATGCAGATATTTCATATAACAAACAACGTGTAAGTAAGCCTATTTTTACTGAGAGCTACAATTATACTGAAAACTTGATTCTAATACATAAGCCAATTTCCAAAATATTTTGGGGCTCTTACTTCTATAATGTGACCTTAAATTAAAATAAGTTGAGACTGCATTAGTAAAATAAAAGTACCATTTATGACTTACATAAGACTCTGAGAAAAAGGTTGATTCATAAGCTATTATATAAAATTTCATTTATTGTTTCGGCCAAATTTCTCCTAAGAACCTAAAATAAGTTGAGATGGTAACCATTATTAACCGTTGTGTCTTTATCTTGGTACACATAAAGACCCACAAATTCATAATTTTAGCACAAAATGCACAAAATCACACAAATGTTTGATATTACACAAAACGTTTATAAACAATAATGATCTTTATAAAGGGACAGTCTACAAATACTTGAGACCACTGTTGAGCAGAAAGAAACAAGAATCATAACCGTGTACCGTTACAGGTTTTGGAAAGGTGTACATGACGCAGAAGAACTGCGGAATGGACAACAACACTGTATATGCAATGAAAATCATGGACGTCCCCATTGAAGGCGACCGAGACAAATACCAAAGAGAGTGCTACGTGCATCAACTCTGCTGCCAATTTCCATTCCTGGTAGCACTCTGTTACACCTTCCAGACAAAGTCCAAGATCTGTCTCGCACTTGGTGAGTACATAAAAACAATTCCTGATTCCAGGATGGTTGAGAAGCAAAGTGAACAATTTAACAACAGAAGTGTCAGTGCATTGTATTGCCAAGTAATGTAGTAAAATTTACAATGCTGCAGAGGGACTTGCTGCCCCCATACCCTAGTAACACAAAGAATAAGAACCGGGTTCAAACTTAAATCCCTAACATTCCATGTTTTGAGAATATGCGTACTCTGCTGGAATCGAAACCTTCAAAATTCTGTTAATTAGTGTCAAAACTATTAAAGATAAGGACAAATTTGCTGTACTTAGGCCTATCTTCTGCATAACAGTGCTTTTAGTGCAACATCTTAAAATTGTTATTAAACCTCTATCTTCTGTGAAACCTAATTGATATTTTAATTTGTACACATCTGTATGTCCCTTATTCCACATCCTGTAGTTGGTATAATTTGTGAATCCATGGAAAGTTTACAGATATATGTACTGTCTATCTGAGCGAAGAACCAGCTTGACCTTCATACACAAGTGCACATCTGCAGTGATGCGCATCCCTCCTAACACGCACAAGAGCAATCAACAGCTGACACTCATTAGTTTTCCAGCGTTTCACCTCATTTTTCTAGTTTTGGCATTTCTTAGTTTCTCTTTTTAATTTAATGGTCACTGCCAGCACCTGCAACAGAGGGAATGTTCTTCGTGTCGTTTAATATTTTTAGGACCACATTCAGGATGCCTTCAAGTTTGAGTTAGTTATTTCTTTAGACAGACAGTATGTATGATATGGCAAATCCTCCTGCTGAGCAAGGTGGTCTGCTGTACTGAGTGTACATCAGGAGTCAACACGAGTTGCGTGCTGTGGTGTTAACACACAGTCCTATCACTCATGTTTTGTGTGAGGAATCATGTTTACTCAGAATTTATAACTGTTTATAGTAGCCTATAGTGTACATAGCAGTGAAATAAGTTTCATTAACAACTGAATCGTTTTAGAATGGGTAGCACAAGGAGTAACCTCCATGTGGACCTTAGGAAGAAGGGTCAGCGTATTATTTATTTGCTTCTCAAACATCGAGTGCAGTGTCCTGCATGGGCTGTGAGTTTTGTCTCTGTCTACAGATTGTGCTCCATCCCCCACTGACGAACAAATCTGCTGTTTCTTTGTAAACAATCTTTCAGTTTCCAGTCTTCTGCAGAGGATAACATTGCAGTAAATCCATTGTCAAATTCAACAGATAACGCAGTAGCACTCACTAGTACCCCTAGTATCATTAAATGTCCTTACAGTAACAATAATGCATTATTATTTTTCCAGACTATTATCCTGGTGGAGACTTGTACCATTTGCTGCGTTACTGGGGCAAGTTTACAGAGACTGCAGCAAGACTATACCTAGCGGAGATAGGCCTGGCTGTAGAATACCTGCATCAGGTATTCAGACATCACTTCACTTGTCTGCATTAAACTACCTAAGTGATTGTGGGGCTATAACTTTTTTATTCTATTCAATGTCATTTTTATTTTCTGTGGTAAACAACAATAACAGTATATA